TTGTAAGCCAGACACTTTTTGCTTTTGTGGCACACACCTCCCCCCATTTTGGATAGCTAATGTCCAAGTTGCCCATCCCTGTCTACTCTGTGTGTGGAGGGAGTCCTCATAATTAACATTTATTTATAAATGGAACAAACACAAACCCAACCAATAAAGATAAAATGTCAGATGATAAAGCAGGATAAAGTAAGAGCAATGCTGAACACACAGAAAGGAATGATGGGATCGGGGGCAGTGTTAAGTACTTTTAGATAGAATGATCAGACATGACCTCTTTGATAATGAACTATTTGAACAGACCTAAAGGGTAAGTCCTGGCATGGCACTGTAGGATAAGCATGGACTGCTAACCGCCAAGGTCAGCCGTTCAAACCCACTAGCCACTCTGAGAAACCCTATGCCAGATTGCAATGAGTCTGAACCGACTCAACAACACACAGTCGCCACCACTGCAAAGCAAAGAATGTAAGGATGGGGAGTGATTGGATCATCTAGACGGGGAGTGTTCTTGGCACAGGGAGGAATGAGTATGTAGGCTGTGGATCAGGAATATCTGTCCAAGGACTCCCAAGGAGACCGCTGCATCTACAGTACAGAAAAGGAGGAGCTAAGAGGGAGTGGGGACCTTGAAAGTCATTGTGAGAACTTGAGATGGGACTAAGCAACATGGCAGCCCATGGAGAATGCTGAACCGAAGGGCAGTAGGGTCTGCCTTGTGGGCCAGTCACTGGCAGCCCCACTGAGACATGTTCAGGAGTCTAGAAGGAGGACGCTTTTCTTCAGGCAAGACAATTGCCGCTATCCACTGAGAGTTGATGCCCCTAGAGCAGTCGGAGTAGTGAGACTTGCTGGGATGTTGGTGATAGTTTGGAGATTGGGCCAACAGGATCTGTTGATTGCTTGCATGTGGGGTGTGAGGAAAAAGACACCTATAAGGCCACTCCAAGGTCAACCCCAATAATTAAATGAAATACCGGACTCATAGTAGAAACTCAAATACCAAGTTATTTGTAACTGTGTATAATTAACACATGTTTATTGAACAGTGCCTTAGTGCCCTTTATTTACATCCCCTCTTCTGTCTCTATCAAGTCCTAATGTAGAATGGGAAGAACCACTCAGAGACTTGAGGCAGATGGGCCAGATGTCTAAAAGCCAAAGATTGACTCTGGCCAATGAATTCAATGCGCTTTCTCATTTCAGAGGATCCATCCTGTGTAGATTACTTCGGCTGGTGCCATCTTGCTCCTCAACACGGGGTCTGCAACCACAAGTTTTATGGTAAACACTGCTGTAGGTCATGTACCAGGAAGAGCTGAGTTGGACGCTGATCCCCCAGCCCCTCAGGGCCAGGAGTTTAGCTTCCCAACCTCCAGATACCTGCCATCCCGGAGAGGAAGTTACGCAGCCACAGCGTCTGGGACACCAGCTCCAAAGGACGAATCGGTTGTGTCAGGGTCCTTGTTCAGGTCACCGAAGTACATGGTACACTGAAGCACTTGAAAATGGGAAGTGGTGACAAATCTGATTTACCAAAAAGAAAGAAAGAAACAAAATGATTTGCACTGTTACACAAAAGAAGACATGATAAATCACACTGAAAGATACCTTGACTCTCAATGTTGACAACAAATCTTGTCAACTTTGGGACAGATCGCCCCTCTTTGGACTTGAAAGGGTACAACTGCAAAGACAGGTCTTTTGAAAAGGCCCTTTAAGCCTTCAGGTCAAAGACTGACAGTTGGAACAATCAAACACCCATGAAACACCTTGCCTAATTGTTGCTTGGAGCTCACAGTTTGACTGAGACTCTGAACACACTGAACCTGGAATCAGAGGAGAAACCAAATGGTGCTCGTGATTGGGCTTGCTACTGGACTAGCAGGCTTCATGCTGTTTCTTTACTGTGTGTGTGCATGTGTGTGCGCCAGCGTGCATGTGGAGGTGTGTGTGTCTGTCTGAGAACAGTTTTCTCATAAAGTGTTCCCAGGGCAACATGGACCATTTCAAATGTCCGCTCAATTGAAATTCACACTCTGCAAAACCTCTCCTATTTTGCCACTCTTCCCATGATACCATCCTGTTAACTTTTGGTGCTAGCTGAGTGTGGAGACGGGAGCCTAGAGTGGGCTGTTTGGGAATGAGAATTGATGAGATGTTCTTTTATGGTAAGCATCTTAGGAGAAGCGAAGTGGCAACGCACCGTGTTCTGAAAGAGACGAGACTGACCTTTATAATGGTCCCTAGATACTGGCAGAACTACTTGGAAAATTAAAGGCCGCTTGTGGCATTTTCCAACCAACTGAAGTTTGAATTTGCCCTAAGATTACATTAACAAGGAAAAAAAAAATCACAGAGGCAATAAATACATTTATGCTGCATTTGTATTAATAAGTCATAATATGCCAAGGCCCTTCCATAAATACAAGTATTTTAGAATCTTAGCTTTCCCCGTGATATTTCAGTCTTTGGGAGTCAGCTATTGGCACGCACTGATGAGCTTTAAATTGTTGTCAATTGGAAAAACACCATAGCATTTTGCCAAAACCAAAGGAACTTGTAAGACTGTCCTTCTGTCTTATTTTTTTTCTGAGAAGTGGTTAAAGGGCATATTTATGTAATTCTAGTCTGTTCCTCAACTTCTTTGATGAATGTAACCCAATTTTAGGGCTTTAAAAAGTCTCATTTTGAACAAGGATTAGCCGACTCAGCACAGCCATTTAGACAGTGATCAGTTAAATTTAGCTACACCCTTTGTTCTCGTCCTAATGAAAATCATGCGTTCTCGAATTGCAGAGAAATGATTAGAAGCTTCGTGCCGTCTACGTGGCTTGGCTTAGAGTGGTGGTCATCCTTACCATCCGAAGAAAACATAATAAAGACCCCACACCATTCCCCCATGCACTCTGAAAAACTGCAAGTCATTTGTTTTCTTATATAAGTATCATCTTATTATTTTATGGGAAAATTTTATTTATTAACTAATAGTCTGTACTTATGTGTTCTCACTTGTTTGTCCAAGCAAGTGGTATTGAATTCTGAGGAGAAATTGTTGAATAAAACTATGGATTATAGAGAAAAGTCCAAATATATGTGTAAAATATTTAATTTTTTTGTAAGTTCTATAATAAAGTATTCCGTTTCTTTGTCTTGGAAACTTGGTAAGTTCTTGAGAAAGTCCATGGGAAGTCTGTTATTTCCAAGGTGGTATTGTTGGATAACTGTGAAGAATCTCACAGCGGAGCATTATTAAGGGGGAAAGATGGCTCTTCAATAGCTAGGGATTTCCTTGTTTATGTGTTCTCTGTGCCCATGTTGATCATTCTCATAACATTTCAAACTTTTTCATAATGTATTATACACTTATTAGGCAACAATATCATGTAAACATAACTTGTATATACACGGGGGAGGAAAAATTGTGATTCGCTTCATTGCAATAGTTGATTGATTGCACTTGTCATTTTTTGTTTTTGCAAACTCACAATACCTCTGAGATTTGCCCATATTTTTCCGTGAATCCGATTGCATGCATTCTTATATATATGGATTGTTATGCCTCCATATATCTCAAATTTATTTTAAGATGACTTTATATGAGTTAGTAAAAGCTGTTGTTATTCAGCACCTTTGAGTCGGTTCCGACTCATAGTAAACCTGTATAGTGTTTCTTTTTTTAATTTTTCAAGCCATGCCTCAATCCCTGTATCCTGAAGCCCTGTTATTCCAAGGTTGTGCATACATCATCATTCACCTCTATCCCACCTAGCCCATGAGAACCTGCCCAACATTCTCCCATCCGCCTTGTTCTTTTTCCCCTGCCCCTTCTTATGTATTGCCAACCCCCATCCCCACCCCCAGCTCCCAGGCTCTCCTGTGGCTATTCGCTACCCTGTGCTCTTTCTTCCCCTTGTATAGTGTTTGTAAGGAGTGGCTAGTGAGTTTGAACCACTGATCTTACAGTTCAAACCGACCTTGCAGTCCAGTGCTTATCCTTCAGTGCCACACCAGGATTTCGTTGAGAGCTGTCCGGCCCTATTTAAAAGGCAGAAATTGGAAGGGAGAATTATTTACTGGGTCGAGCACAGACATGTGCTACTTCGGTGACAAGACAGGCAGTTAAAAAGGAAAAAGAAGAAATTTCTTTCTTTTTTTGTGGGGGGGTGTTTGTTTATTTTTCCATAGACTTGATGGGAAATGATGTATATTTATTTTCTCATTAGGACAAAAAGGCAACAATTGTGATTAAAAATGGAAACAGACTTCTTGTTTTTCTGTGTCGTGGAGTCGGTTCCAACTCATAGTGACCCTGTACAGGGTTTCTGTGGCTGTAAATCTTTACTGGAGCAGAAAGCCTCATCTTTCTCCCATGGAGCAGCTGGTAGTTTTGAACTGCTGACTGTGAGATTAGCAGCCTGATTCGTAACCACTATACTAGATGGCAGATAAAAGACATGGCAGTAAAAAGGTGTCTTTGGTAATAAGATACTAACACAAACATATATTAGCTGTCTTATGAGTGCTATGTAGGGAGCTGGGGTCCTGGTATGGTGCTATAGGATAAGTACAACATCAGCAGTTCAAACCCACCAGCCACTCCTGGAAAACTCTATTCAGAGCTGCGATGAGTTGGAATCAACTCCATGGTACTTAACAACAACATGTATGTACAGGTGCTGAGCCCCGTACATACGTTACTTCTTTAACTGTCACAACAGCCAATGAGCAGGACACTGTTGGTGTGTTTACTTTGTACATGAGGACAGTAGAATTCAGAGACAGTGCTTCTTTGATCCACAAGTACACTGACGTCAGATGATGACGTCAGGACCCACACCCAGGTCCGTTGGACTTGGAAGGTCATTCTCTTGGTCGCTGTGCAAGATTACCACAGGAGAGGGGAAAACCATATGGTAGACATTGAGGTCTTAGAAGTCTATTCTTACTGTCCCTGAGGTGTGACTGAAGAAGGTTTGGAAAGAAGTAATTTACAATGACTTATGATCAAATCTAGGATGATTTAAGATGGAGAATTGTTCAATCAAGCTAATTTCGATTTAGGGTGATGTCATGTGTCAGAGTAGACGTGGGCTCCAGTGGGCGCCCCGTGACTGTCAGCTCTTGGGAGTCGATACCCAGGCTTTTATTTTGTGGTGCCACTAGATGGGTTTGAACTACCAACCTTTTGGGTAGTGGCCAAGAACAAAGTATATGTGCCACCCAGGGAACCTTTGAAATGGGGTACTCAACCCCCACTGCTATCAAGTTGATTTTGACTCAAAGCCACCCCATAGGACCCAACTGCTTCATACGGTTTCTGAAACTCTTAAGTCTTTACGGGAGAAGACCATGTCAATCTTTCTCCAGTGGAGTGGCTGCTGGGTTTGAACTGTGGGCCTTGAGGCCAGCAGTCCAACCCTTAGCCCACTGTGCCACCAGGATGCTTTAAGATATGGGCAGAAGAGGTGATAAATTCCCTAGACCTTTCTATTAAAAAAGACTGAGAACCCCATTACCCACCTAAATAGGTTCATCTCCTAACAACTGTGTCTCTGGGATGTTAGTGTTTCTGGTAGACATCCAGCAATTGAGACACACTGGGCATGGATGCTGCGTTCCACATGTATGGAAGGGTGATGTCACCTTCATGCAGGGGAGATTTACAGAATAAAGAGCTTAATGCGATTGTAAGCTGTCGTGTGTTTATGTCCCATAAGGTCTTAACCAGGGGCTCTGGTAGCGTAGCGGTTACAAGTCGAGCTGCTAATCACATGATCAGCAGTTCAAAGCTACCAGCTGTTCTGCAGGAGAAAGATGAGGCTTTCTGCTTCCATAAAGATTTACAGCCTTGGAAACCCTATGCAGGGTCGCTATGTGTCGGAATCACCACCATGGTTTTCAATGTGTATGAGGGTGCCCCACTTTGTCCGCCTTACTGTATCTTTCCCAGAAAACCTTACGGCCTTCAATACCCCTGTGGTGGCTATTGAGACTCTTAACACCTGCAGAAGTTTCCGGCCCCTGATCTTCTTCTCCAGAGAAGACCACAGGGAAACATAATTCTTCAAGTGTTGCTCTTCATCTATGACCATCTCAAAATTTCCCATAAGCACATATCACCTTAACTCCACAATGTTTAATGTAGTCATGCTGTGGGCTAAAGCACTGGACCACAAGGTCAGCTTGAACCACAAGATTGGTGGTTCAAACTCACCAGCAGGTCCTTGGAAATCATATTCATGGTTGCTATGCATTGGAATTGATTTGACAGCACTTAACAACAACAATGTTTAATGTTGATGCATCTAAATTAAAAAAT